TGTAATCTTGGATCGGTTGAGTCGCATCGGATGCTTGGTGCTACGGAGCTTGACCGAGTTAAATATGTTGTTGAAGTGTTGCGAGCCGAGAATGTTGCAATCAGAGAGGTGCTTGAACAGATTGTGTCGTCCACCAGGTCCGAGCTCATGTCGATGAATGGTCGTTTTGGCAGTGGGCTTGGTCAGTTGCGTTCACTTGTTGGAAACATGGACCACCACGACTTCAGTACCATGAAGCGTGAGATTGATCGATTGTGTGAGCATGCCGGAACCATTGGTCCCAAATTTGCCGAGATTGATCGTACCATACAGGCCATTTACATGCGATGTGAAGTGAATGAGCTTGACACCGTCAGGAAGCTTGAGGAATGCCGAGCGGATTATGTTGAGAAGTTGCGTGGATTGAATGAAAACATTGCGGGTCGGATTGTTGAGCTTGAGAATTATATGCAGTCGCAGTCCGCAGCATACCGAGAACAATTCATTTCCATTGAACGTCGTTTTGGAAAGATTGAAATGAAACTTTCGAATATTGGTGTTGCCCCGAGTGTTGATGCACCGATGATGTCAGCATCCCAGCATGCCGTGTTCCATCCTCCTCCCGTGTCCCAACAATTTGCACAGCAAGCGGCGTCTGTCCCTGTCCCCGTGTCAGATGGACAGAGCTTCAGGAGCTATATGAGTTGGGATCAACGTCAGGGTGAGGATCGCCAATCAACGAGTAGTGGTCGGACACACCGCACGTTGGAGCGCCAAAGGCCAATTATACCGCCTGAAACAGGTATGCTTAGGCGTGCCAGTGACAGTGGTGCGGCCAGTGCATCGGGTGCATCTGGCAATAGATGCTTGCAGCATCATGAATCCCTTATGCCGAGAGAACGGTCTGCGTTGAAATCGAATCCGGCGCCGAGTATGTTCGATGCTGCTCCTGCTGAGCCTGCCATTGAGCAAAGTGAACAGCATTCATGTCCCGTGAATGCGCCCTCGCAGCAGCAACATCCTGTTGCCCCGAGCATGCAGGCGTTTGTTGAGGCTGCTCAACGATGTAACAATGTTGGGAATGAATGCTCTTATGGTGCCAGTTGCATGACCTCTGGAAACCGTGTTCAACCGAGTGCTGATCCAGTTCCCGTGCATGTTGTGCCCCAGATTTCGTCACCTGCTCACCCTGTTGAGCAGAAGGGCGTGAGTCCGAGCCCAAAGGCATGCATACAGTACGCGAGAACTGTTCCTGGTTGGCCGGTTGACCCGAGGCCACAGCCCGGATTTGCTGAGGACCTTTCATTTCCACAGCGAATTCAATTTGATGAGCGCAGCATCCCGTGTGGTGGAAAGAATAATCGTTGGGTTGATGCAATGTTGGGAAGGACCGGCTTTGTCGCGCCTGGACATGTTGTTGAGAGCACTACTGGAACGTTGATTGCTCCTGCTCCAACAGAGGCCGTGTCCGCCCCTCTGCCAACGTTCTCCCACATTCGTTCACCTGACTATCCTGCCACATATGGAGTGACTGAAACCGCCCGAGACGATCATACCTCCTGTCCAAGCCAACCTACTGAGAGAGTTGGAACCTCCGGAGATGATGACAGGCGGAACTCCCGTGGTAATGAAGATGGTTCTGGTGATGGTTGGCATAAAGTTGATTCGTCCCGTGCCCCCGCGTCCGCACCGCCGCCTGGCCCGCCTGGTGACCCTTCGGCCCGCCTGATGGCCCTCCTGGTGGTGGCGGAAGTGGTGGAAATGACCATCATGATGAGCATGGCTTGCTCCCTCCTGACATGCGTTCCGCACGACCACCGCCTGACGATGAGGTCTTGTGTGAGAGATGTGGTCGAAATTGCACCCGTGCTTCTGCAAGGAATTGTGTGTCTTGCCAGTACCGATGTTGCCCAATCTGTTGTCCTGATCCAATGAGGATTTGCAAAGTTTGCTTGGAGCGTGCGACCGGGAATCCTATCGGTGGTGGTTCTGGGCCTGACCGTCGGTCACAGGATGGCCCGGAAGGTCGAAAGGACGACCAGAAGGCTAAATGCAAGTCTATCACTCTCGAAAAGGAACCCGCGCCCAATCAGCTCCGCGCTTGGATTGTTGATTTGAAGGAGAAAGTTGCAAATGCCTTTGCCTTTGATACCGAGTACGCTCTTAAATGGGTGGAGATCCCCGAGAACGCCGACTACGAATCTTTGTCTGCACCGTGTAAATATGGTAACCTTGAAAACGAGTTCAATGCCGCTTTGAGGCAGTGCGTCACATCCCCGCCCTTGAAGGCGAAGATTGGGATGGAAACTGAACGCATGCATTCATTGTCCAAGAGACTCGTCAGTCGGCAAATCCTCTGGATGTTGTACGAACATCTCCGTCCCCATATCACTGGCGACACAACGTTCAAAATGATTGAGTTCATGCGACTTTCCAGTGATCGCTTTACCAAGGGAACCGAGGAAGAACGGCTTGAGGCGTTTATGAACAAGTGGGACTCCGTACTTGCGGGGATCACCGTCGACCGCCCTCCTGAGCATGTTCTTACCGCGTTGTTTTATGAGCAGATACATACTTTCAAGTGTCTTGCGCTTGATATGGCGTTGTGGCAGCGTGATCCGAGCGTTCGCAATTACGCATATCTGAGGAGCGTTGCTACCAATGCCGTGCAAACTTGGCGCATGAGAAGCAATCAAGAGAGAATGTATCATGCTACACGAAACAGCTCCGGTTCTCCCCGTGTTTTGGCTGTTCAGCGTGGTTCTTCTGGTGGACGAAAGGGTGACCGGTCAAGATCCTTCACTCCCGGAGGCAGGCATCGCAAGAGATCTACTCCGAGAAGAAAGGGAAGTCGCAGTCACACTCCACCTGGCGGGAGGAGGAAGCCTTCTCCTCATCGCGCTGCTCCTGTCCGACATGGAAGTCCGAATCGCCGAGGAGATCGTTCCCGATCCAACACAAGATCTCCGAACGGAAGGTTTGTCTGCCGTGACTTTCAGAGAGGGTCTTGCGCCCGTGGTGATGCTTGCAGATACTCACACAACAAGGCCGCGCGTCCCTCAAGCCCAAAGAATTTCAAAGGGCGTTCAATGTCTCCCGTGTCAAAAGAGTCCGGCATTTGTTTCTATTACGCACGTGGAAAGTGCACTAGAGATAAGTGTCCTTATAAGCATGAGAAACCTGCAGCCCCAGTTGAGGTGTCTGCTGCGCCCGTTGAGGGTGGCGCCCAAAGACGGACTGACAGTCCTGCCCCTCTTCCTCAGGATTTTTGAGAGGGGCGTGCCGCGACCCTCAGGCAGCCTTGGGAATGACCTTTGGTCCTAAGTTTGCTTGTGCCGCTAGCGTCGATTTTGGTTGTCCTGCCCGAGCACCTAAGCGTGTTCGATTTGTGAAAGTCATGTTCGCCACTTTCCGAGTCCTGTTGAGACTCCCCGAAAGATCGAGCGGGCAAGGGTTGCTAACTATTCGTGGCCTCCTGAGATTCAAGGTCTGAATAGTGCTCGTGAGCATCGGAGAGCTCACATGAAGGCGGTTATGTGGCATGAACAGGTTGTGCTTGACAACTCAGACCAGGCATTGATGGGGGGAGACGCTTGTGTTATGGAACTCACCCTGTCGAAAAGATCTGCTTCAGAGGTTATGGCTGCCGCGGCAAAAGTTCACAAGAGAGTTCGTCGCCTCATGCTTGATTCCGGTTGTGGAATCGACCTAATTGGGATGCACGATCTAACCGGAGAAGAGAGAAAGCTGATTTCCGCGTATCAAGAGTTACTGTTGCGTACCGCAAATGGAAAGACTTCGACTAAGGGCCTGGCTAGGCTCAAAGTCGACGGGTTAGTTGAGCTTGTTGAAGCATACGTGCTTGACAACACTCCCTCATTGTTGTCCCTTGGGAAAAGGTGTATGGAGCATGGATATCGATTCTCATGGGACCCGTATCAAATTCCGCTTTTCTTTGATCCGAGTGGCCGTGAGATTAAATTGGAATTGGTTAATAACATCCCGTACCTGTTGCCTACCGAGACTCAAATTGTTGCAGCGAACACTGGTCATCACAAGTTCTACTCGGCATTCCCTGCGCCAATTGTTGTGCATGAAAAGGTTGTTGCCGCCGGAAGTGATGGCGAAGATGATTTGCGAGTAATGTTTCCTAGTTTGGCCGAGGATAGCATTGAGGATGTGGCTGAGGGAGAGAGATCTTCGGGTTCCCATGCTCCTGTGGCGAAAGCTAGATCCAAGGCCAAGACCGTTGCCAAGGCCAGGCCGTCTGTTCCGCCACGTGAGGAGCGTGATTTAAGGGCCGAAGCTAAGTCCCTCAAACACTTGATGACTCACTTGCCCAAGAATCCATATTTTGATGCGTGTCAGCGTGCTAAGATGGTGAATGTGAAGTCGTTCCGACATGAGGGAATTGAAGGTTATGAATTCACCAAGTTCGGAGAGCACATTACGTTGGACACGATGGTCCTCCATGGTCTTACAAACCGAGGAATTAATGGTGAAACTGATGCGATTGTGTTTTTATGACTTTGGGACAGGCTGGCTTGACGCCATTCCGGTAAAGAGTCGTACCAACGCCGAGACCTTGAGAGCTTTCTGTGAAGTTATTGGTGATTTGAAAGAAGTCAATTCGTTCAGCTTTGACACCGAGAGAGAATATGCTCCTCCTGCCGTGCAAGAGATGTATTGTGACAAAGCGAGAGAGTTCATCTCTACTTGTCGAAACGTTGGTATCAAAGTGTCCCATTCCACCCCTGGCATGCCGAGAACGAACGCAATGGCTGAAGCCAAAGTCAAACTTGTGCTGCAAGGCGCAAGAGTGGCGCTGAGACAGGCTGGGCTTGAAGCTAAATTCTGGCCATATGCTGTTCGCCATTTTTGCATGGCCGCCAACTTGACAATTGAAAAAGGGGAATCTGCCTTCAAGAAACGCTTCGAGACTGACCGCTTTCGTGGGCAGATCATTCCTTTTGGTTGCTTGGTTGACTATTTCCCGACGCCATCCAGGAGAGATCTTAGAAAGACAGCTAGTGATGGTATCAGGCTTGATGTCGGTGAAGGAGACGCCAATGCAGCCATATCGTCATCCGAAGAGGAACTTGAGAGTGATGTTGAGTTGGATATTATCAAGATGACAGAGTTGCTGGAATCGGGCATGGATGAAGATGAAGCCATCCGGTTCTTTGCCGAGATTGAAGGTCGGCCGCCAAAGTGTCATGGAACCTCGCTTCCTGCCGAGTCCTCTGATGATAACGGTAAGGAGGAATGGTTTGCGTCCGACGAGTTTGATCCCGATGATCTTGAGGCTTATGTCGACCAAGGCCATGTCTCAGAGGATGAAGTTCCTGACATTACGCTTGATGGCTCCGGGAAAGTTCAAGCCTATCAACCTCGAGGTAAATTTTGCCCGACCAGTCGTCCCGGTGTATTCCTTGGATACCACTGTGAAGTTGGCTCAAAATGGAAAGGTGACTATGTTGTTGCTGATCTTGAGAATTTCAAGCAGAACATCAGTAAGCCAAGTGTTCAGCAGGTGAAGCGTATTTATCTTGCCCCGAGTGAGAAGTATACGTTCCCATTGCTTCCAATCTACGAAAAACGGACACGATCGTTGTGCTTGGATGATCCAGTGATGCTTGACAGCGATACCCGAGTTGAATCTGTTGACCATGAAGACCAAAGCGAGGTGTTTGATTTCAACGAGGGACGAGTTGCTGGAACGTCTGATGAGCCCGAGTCTAAGGATGCAAACGATCAGGTCGAATCCTCCGATGGAGCGAAGGTTGACTACTGGGAACATGATGCATCTTCCGGTGTGTGGACGTATCACGTTGTCGCGCCAAGAAAGGCCATGGTGAACCCAGGTGTAACGCCTGGCGCGCTTGGCACTGTTCCCGAGTTGCGGAAGTTATCGAATGTTCGAATTAGCTACATCACTTACCCGGGTAGCACTCCAGTTGAGATTCGTGAAGAACATTATGCGCTTGGTAAAACCAGGCTTATGAAACACTGGACCGGGAAGGTGTTGTTCTTTGAGCATGGGAAAGTGCCTGAGAAGCGCACCGAGAAGTTTGCAACATATAAGAAGCATGGTGTGCTTGGTCTTGATGGCGAACTCCCGTATAAACAAGATGCCGAGCGAAGCGAGCGTAAGTATCGGGGTACCCGAAAACCCAACTCTATTGATTCTGAATCATGGCGCTCGATGAGCCGTGTGGAAAGAGAAGAGTATGTTGAATCCGAGCTGCGTGAAGCTGAGCTCAAAGCTATGTCGAAGAATGATCCGCGTGATGCTGCACCTGTGCATATTGAGGATGATGATGGGTATGAATCGCCTGCCTTTAAAGGGGACAGGGATGGCTGGTTGCACGATGCTAAGCATGGAGTGGTGATCAGACACCGCCCGATGTCTCGAAAGGCCAAATTTGATCCCGAATCCTTGAAGAATTGCCGTGCCTACCTGTATGTTGAGTGATACGCGCATCACTCTGGTCCAAACTGAAGGCGCAGAGTTCGCTCTCCATGACAGCTGGAGGATGCCTGAACACAAAACATTGCCGTTTCAATGGACCGGGCAGACTATCTTCATGTTGCGAGATCATGCCGAGCCGCGAGTCAAGATTTCCCCCTCGAAGCCTGGGATGTTTCGGCCAAGTGAGATCGAGGAGGAGGAGCGGAGCTACTTTCTCCGGTCTAGCTCGCGTGTCGTAGTCCCTGCGAAAGAAAGATCGACAGTTGGAACCGGCTTGCGCGTCAAACCGCCTGCGGGTGTATGGGGAAGGTTCCGAGCTGTTGAAAAGAAACATGCTACCCATCCGAGTCTTGATGTTTGTCCCGGGATCTTGTCCGAGGAAGTTGTTACCGAAAATATGTCAGTCGATGTCGTTAATGCTTCCGAGAATGATCTTATCATTGAGCCTGGTGATGTCTTTGCGGTTGTACAGTTCTACTCTGGTATTGTTTGCGTTGCTGAGGTCGGTGATGTATCGGCTCCAGTTCCCGAGAACAAGGACAATACAAATCTTGCGTGTGGCGTGGTTACCAGTGGGGTTCCATCGTCTGCGGATCACCCCCAGATGCCCCTGCGTAGCCAGCCATACCAGCACCGTAATGGTGACACCACCGTGTTCTGGTACAGTGCTTGTGTTGCCAGACCTGTTGATCGCAAGGAGCGTGCCGTTAATGCGAAGGCGATGGCCGCCCTAGACAAGGAGTGGAACAAACTCATTGCTCAAAAGTGCTGGGATTATGCTTCCGTACGTGAATGGAAAGAAGTTGCCGCGGAGGCTGATCGTCAAGGGATAAAGGCTCACGTTGGTCGAATTCTTGATGAGCGAAAGCCGACCTAAGATTACTATGTTCGCACTACTTTTATGTTCTAACTAGTTAGTTATTTCTCTTGACTTGATGAGCGAAAGCCGACCTAAGATATATGCGTTGAAAAGCTACTCTGGCTCAGTTGCGGTTAGACGCAGTAGCACTGGCGCTAGGGGGAGGATGCCGTCATCCTCTAGCGGACC